CAAGGTCCTGTAGTAATAATGGTCATTTCTTACCTTTGACTTTTTTTTCTGAAGCTCAGTGGGTTATTATCATGTGCTGTTAAACCCCAACCTTTGCACTTTCCTCTCTCACCTCTCCCCCTACAAAGACAGGGCTTCTCGTACCACAATTTACACGATGACTGTGCAGCTTAGAGTAGTGAGTAATCATGATATTTAATGGGTAAGGGATCAGGTAATTACCTGGACATTGCAGAAAGAGAAGAAACTGTGAATGTTAGCTCTTTTGCCTCTAATGAAAATTCAAGAACTGAGCACACAAAGCCAGTTTTCAAGAGATGTCCAGTTTCATCTCCATCCCTTCACTGGTACATCCAATAAGTAAACATAGTCAGCAAGCTCAGCTCAGAACAAGATCAAGAGATTGTTCTCTTTGTGATGCCTATGGCTGTCATTGAAACTAATATTCAGAACTCAGAATTGCTTTCTTCATCATCACATAACTGCACTCAAGAACACAGGTGATAAATTTGTCGATGTTCATTTAACATTGACCCATTGATAAGACAAAAGTCATTATGAACCATTGTAATAGGTTGCCTCAGAGCCTAACTACTAATTTAGATGGAAGTAGAGAAATTCTTTCCCCACAAACACATAGAAAAATTAGTGGTCAGTACAGAATTAATTACAAAAATAAAATTAAGCAAAGAGTATCATCTTCACATACATGCTTTAAAATTTTTAGATGTGGCATTTTTACTCACCATCCAGAGGCGGAACCAAGCAGCTGAAGGCAGACTCTGTGGCATTAGCCAAGACTTGGCAGGGAGCGCCACACACAGCAGCTGAGATATTCCCTGGAGAAAATCCTACTCCAAACACATGTACAAGCCTTCCACCCAGGCAGCCTTTAAAGACAAATTAGAAGTTCATGATCATAGAGGCAAATCTCTCTTTCTTTACTTAACTCACAATTTGAACTTTGCTTTCTTGCTGCCCATCCTTCCGGAATCCACAAAATTGGCTTTAGGTCCCTGACATCCTCAGTCTCTTTTCCACTTAGGCTCTGGCCTCCAGGGTTCTGTCAGATCCCAATCATATTCAACAACCTTTACGAGAAAGGATTTTTTTTAATGCAGCAACTATTATACAGAAAAATAATACTTATAGTTTTTAAGCTTTTTACATCAAAAGAGCAGAAAATGAAAGTAAAAGTTCCCCCAACCACCTGTCTCACTCCCTAGAGGTATCAATGTATATATATGAATATCCATGTACATTTCATGGAGCTTCTTGTGGCTCCTTCCAGAGTTCTCTAAGAATATATATTTTTTGATGCAAAGGAATCATTATATACATATTATTCTATGACTCATTTTTTTACTTAAAATACAGCATAGATATATTTCCAAACATACATAGATCCAGTTCATTTTAATAGCTACTTAAAATTTCATTACATGGTTGTGCCACAATTTATTAAACAATTTTCTTATTGACTGATACTTCCATTATTTCTCCTTTCTCTATCTCTATTATTAATAGTTGTATAATAACCGTACATATGTTGGTAACACTTACATGAGTAAAACTCGTTCACCCCTCTAGTTCATGCTGAGATACTGAGTTCCAGTCTCTGCTGACCTCATTCCAAGTCTAGGTGGTACTTACACAGCCCCCTGACCAACTCAAGAATAACGATTTTGCTTAGGGTGCATTTCATACCCTCTGCTCTTCCATCATAAAAATTGTGAAATCTTAGAGAACAGAAAGGGGAATTTAGGGAGCATCCAGCCCAAACTCCTTTACCAAATAAAGAAGCTGAGGATTAGTTAGCTTCTTAGTTAGCTAACTCAGTGACAGACTCCAGACCCAAATCCTGATCCCTGTAGTGTTCCACTCAGCTGAGGCCAAATTTGTTCTAAGAAATGGCTTGGTTAGTACTTCACCAGTCTAAGATTCTGCTTCCATAATTTCCTCTACAGTCTCTAAATCACAATCAAATTTGAGCTATCTCAAGCACAGTACAGCTTTGAGTGAACAGAAACTGAAACCATCACTGAAAGAAAAGGCAAGGCAAATTTNCCCTGGGCCAGCATAGTTATATGCACAGGTGGCAGAACAGTGAACAAAACACACAGCATCATAAACTTAAATCTTCTATTGTACCTGAAGTTTCCTATTGTGGACTCACTCTCTCTTCCATAATGTTGTGCTTGTACACATGATGATAATAGAAAACTCAGTTTCTAGTGTTTTAAACAAGGATTGTTTCTTGTTTTCCTCTTTCTCTTCCTCCTCTTCCTGTTCCTTCTGCTCCTCCTCTTTCTTGTCTAAGACAATACCATGTAAACTGCCATCACAATGGTATTACCTGGCATAAAGTTATTGTCCAAACTCAGACAAAGTGACACTTTTATCACTTCGTAAATCCTTAGCCCACATTCAAGTTGCAGACAAATAAATTAGGAATATAAATTTGAAAACTACACAGAATGCATGTGTGTAAATGGTTCTTACGTGCACAGGATGTCTGCAAGATCTATGATTATGCAAACAAGATCATCACCTGGCTAAATCTGAGCTATCTCAAGGGCAGCTCTGCTGACCTCATTCCAAGTCTAGGTGGTACTTACACAGCCCCCTGACCAACTCAAGAATAACGATTTTGCTTAGGGTGCATTTCATACCCTCTGCTCTTCCATCATAAAAATTGTGAAATCTTAGAGAACAGAAAGGGGAATTTAGGGAGCATCCAGCCCAAACTCCTTTACCAAATAAAGAAGCTGAGGATTAGTTAGCTTCTTAGTTAGCTAACTCAGTGACAGACTCCAGACCCAAATCCTGATCCCTGTAGTGTTCCACTCAGCTGAGGCCAAATTTGTTCTAAGAAATGGCTTGGTTAGTACTTCACCAGTCTAAGATTCTGCTTCCATAATTTCCTCTACAGTCTCTAAATCACAATCAAATTTGAGCTATCTCAAGCACAGTACAGCTTTGAGTGAACAGAAACTGAAACCATCACTGAAAGAAAAGGCAAGGCAAATTTAAGTATATCTAAAAGGAGAAAAAAGTTCAACCAATGCAATTGTACTAGGCAATTGGCTTATTATCAGCAAAGCATAAATTAATCTGCAAAATATTACAAAATGATAAAATCAATCATGTTAAGTTTAATATGATTCATAATCGTATAAGTTTTAAATAATGCAAATTTGGCATATAGGTCTAAAAATAGGTGAAAGCATTTATATTCTCATATGATCAAATTATGAGCTTTTACAAATGGTATTATTTGATTTAAAACACAAATTAAATCTGGTTAATGCATCAAATTAAAATACGATCAAACACATAGACAATATGCGTAATTTTCTTGATAAAAACAAAGCCTTATAAATGGAGCATGAAAAAGACGTCTCAGGAAGAAACTGGGACTGTAAAAGGGCAGCCAGCTTCTCTTTTTTCCTATTGTGCAGATTGATGTTGATTTCCTACCTCCTGGAAGTGAGAGTAGCTATTAATTGACTTGCATAAAGAAAACTCTCTGTCTTACTTGCTTGACTTACCAAAGTTCTTGATCACTGATGTAACAGTAGCTCTCAACGTGAACACCAGAACAGAGGAGGCCCACCCTCTGGTGCGGTCGTAACCTCTGACTTGGTACTCCCCAGCAGGAAGGAAAGGGACCACGCACTGGAGAAGAGTGTGGTTACCGGAGACACCCACACAGGGTGACATCCCAATAAAAATGTCCACGTTTGCTGCTCCTGAGATCTGGGCCACTGCAAAGGTTAAGATGTCATCACTCTGAGAAACGGAGAGCAATTCTGGGGTGAAGGCATTGCTGTAACCAATGACTCCCAAGTGGTATTTAAGTCCATCTACCTCTATTTCCAGGGCAACAGAGCCATTCCCTGCAGGAACAATGCACCGGATGAGCTCAGCACCCATGTCCACCGTCAGGCAAGCCTGCTGGCCAACGTGGACTAATGTGGTGTTCCATCCTTTCAGAGCTATGCCCTCTATGGCCAAGAGACCTCCACCATGAATCACCCATGTCCACCGTCAGGCAAGCCTGCTGGCCAACGTGGACTAATGTGGTGTTCCATCCTCTCAGAGCTATGCCCTCTATGGCCAAGAGACCTCCACCATGAACGCTGAAATTCTTAGGGAAATAATGAAACACTTGAGGCATAATGTAGAAGTGTCTGGAAACGTTACTAGAACAAGCATATCCATCTCTTGTATGAAAAACTGATAGGTGGTGGAGTCCTGACGGCAAGTCACTTATCTGGCATGCCACGTGGCTTGCATTAAAGAAAGTTACATTGCAAGGAAGTTGATCATCCACAAACACCACGGGCTCATCGTCAGTGGTGCCTAACCTCTGACCCCTGATCAGCACAGTGGTCAGAGACCCACTGACGTTGGTGGTCAAGGCCTCCAGGACAGGAGTTGTCTCTTCCCGCATGACGAGAGTGCAATTCCCCTGACACTCGCTGGTCAGCCCATTGACCAGGACTGTGACATTCAGGGTGAAGGAAGCTGCAGGCAAGGGGTCACCCACCAGGTTAACCCGGCAGAGGATGGTGTGGTCTCCCAAACTCAAAATCACGCAAGTAAAAGGACCTGAAAGGTCAACCTGAACTGACCTCCATCCAGAGCTGAGAGCCACCCCCCTCACGGTGAGTACTGTCCCCCCACACGCAGAGCCGTGCGTTGGGGAGATAGCCGTTATCCGAGGTGTCACCGCGAATTGCTGGGGCACCGCAGACATTTCAGCAAATCCCATGCGCTGGTGCCGTACTCGCAGGGGATAGACGCCCGGCTGCAGGTGGCGCAGCGGGAAGGAGCACCCGGACAGGCTCGCCGCCACCTCGCAGCTCCAGCTCCCCAGGGCGATGACCGAGCTGGACAGGTTACTGCCTTCCACGTACAGCCTCAGGCTGCTGTTGGTCATTTCTCCTCGCAAGGCGGTGACCACTGGTGTTGCTGCCGCTTCATACGTGAAGGTAAAGCCGCTCCCCACCAAGCGTGGGGAGGGCGCGCGGGTCAAGGACGCGTTGCCCGCCCAGACCTCGACCGGGGCGGGGACGGCCCGAGCGGCTGCGCCCG